GTTCACTACTACTACTTATATACAAATCGCAAAGACCTAAAACCTATTCATTGGGAACTGTGGACGACTCGGATATATACGTGCCGTTAAGCAAATTCAAAAGAGCCAAAGAACTGGAAAGAGTGAAGATATACCAGTTCTGCGGTCCTCTCAACTTCGCTAATGTACCCTATTTTAAGAAAGAGCTTGAGATCAGGACTGGTGTTGATATAACGTACGGATCGGTTCATTACATCATCTGTTGTTTAATTTTTAATTGCATTTTTTGTTTGGTTTATTAGGGAAATAAAGGAGGAGATGATGTCAATGGCTCCCAAAACCTCGTGCTTTATGTTCGCCGAAACGAGAGATTTTACGAAATTGAACGAAGACTTCTTAGAGCATAAGAAACATTTGCCAAAATATATCATAATTGACTGTTCAATGTTGTCGTATATCGACACGTCTGGTGTGACAACATTGACAAAGTTGGTCCAAAGTCACGCCGAGATCGACATTACCGTACAATTCACGGGATGTCCCGTTCATATTGAGTCGATGCTCAAGAAGGACGGCTTCTTCAAAGAGGTGTCCACCGATCGGGTGTTTAAGTCGGTTCACGACGCCATCACTTATATCAGACAAAGCGAGCCCACAATCGGTCAACCCATTCAAGACTTCAGCAAAGACTACAGCACTGAGAGACGTATTTTCTCCAAAGTTATATCCAACTTGTCGTTAGACTCGATGGCCAGCGGTATAACAATGAGTAGTTATAACGATATGAAAGCACCCGACTCTCCAAAGAGTATACTGAGAGCCAGCGCTTTAAACACTCCCCAGTTTAATAGACCCCGACGTTCAGTCACTTTCACAGGTTTCACGCAATCCTAAACTTATTGTCTCTGTGTTTATAATCAAATAATCAGATGATTTGTTTTGTTAGTTTGAATTGTTAACAGAATTGTATTATTATTTATTTTTATTTACAATTTTAATTTGTTATAATATAAATTATTATTATTTACTTTTTAATTGAAATTAAAAGTTTTATTTTTGGAAATAATTTGCTTAACATGTATCATATTTTTTAATCCATATGTCATTAAAATCATCAATTTCTGTGATTTATTAACAGTTGCACTATTAAATACAATAATATTTTATGATAAATGAACCAGGTACACTTAACAAATAATTGGATATTGTTAATCCTATTTTAATTCCTAAACAACACAAATAGGCGTTAATTAAATTGATAAGAAAATGTTATATAAAACACAAACATCTAATTAAAAATAGAAATAAATGTTTGTGTTGTTATATAACAGACAATGAATTTCCAAATTTTTCTTTTTAAACAATTAATTCTAATCTTAAATTTATCAGTAATTCTGTGTTTTGATAGACACCTGACTGTCGATAATGTCTATCCATTACAAGAATTTGACAATAAGACCGACCAAAAAGTGTATCACAAATGGATATTTCCGCAAACAAATCGTAAAATATTTTTATAAATTAAGATGTAATTTAAAAAATACTTATTTTATGTTTTGATTATAAAGTTCCCATTAAAGTGAACTCGAGTTTCTCTTTGTACAGTTATGGATCAATTGATGATAAGAATAGTGTACGTATTTACTAATTTAAAATTTCACCACTTTTGATATTAGATAAAACTAAAATTTGTAATTCAATAAACACTATTCAATATATAGGAGTTTTCCATATCAATGGTCTTACGATTTCGTTGGTTTGACGAGAGACTCAAAAT